TGTCCTAAAATTGAAGCAGTTGTGTTGCTAATTGTAATGAACGGTTGTTGCTTTACGTTTAACTTGTGCACTCATTAAGGTCAATCACTGCAAATTAAATCACTCAGATCTGTCGAACATGTGACTCAGACCAACAGCACAGCTTTTTACTGAGTCTGATTTTGGAGTTAGAATGATGCGACACTTTTATAACCTAAAAAATGTCGTATAGGGGATGTAGAAGCTATTTTATGATTTTGTAGCTCCATACGGACAGATAATGTCATCGCCTCATTTTAACTTTCTGGCCTTTCCGATTTTAGACGGACAAAGATGCCGACAATTTTGCAAATTGAACACTTGAGTTGTCAGAACTGGAGACACAGCCGTAGGCGAAAAATCATTTTGCGTTTGTGGATAAAATCATTCTGCGTTAACGGTTCCAAATGTGAACAGCAAACATCATAACAACACAGTCTTCTAACTAATTTGTTTTTTCAGTTAAAATGGTGCCGATACTGGTCCAAATTAAACATTCACTTGCACACACGCGAAATGCAGGCGTATTTCAAAGCTAAATTCAGAATCTTTAAGCCACGGACAAAAACACCCTCGTAAAATTTTGATTTCCTAACTTGACTGATTCGTGAAACCACTCGTCAAAAACGATTTCGAAGACACTTTCATTTCGAAACCAATCAATGTTTCGAAATCACACAAAATCTTGTCTGATTCGCCAAAAATATTTTTTATGCACCCGTACTCGTAATGTAGGCGTAGTATGCGAAACACAGTTTGAGAGGGTTAATTAGCACAAAATAACGTAGTAAAATTTCAGCCACCCACCTTTTTGTGGTTTCCGAAATTCCCATTACAAAATTTTTTCGCCACAACTTTTTATGCGTTTTGCGCCGTGTAACGGCAATGCAAAATGTGCGTGTGTTTGTATTTGTGTGTGTGTGTTTTTGTGTGTGTGTGTGTATATGTGTTTGTTTCCGCGTGCATATTGTCTCACACTTTCAACGCGGGAACCACAAAAGCTAGAAGGCAAAAATTTTAGCAGAATGCAAATTTAAATCCCCACGCACATGCGACACTGCAAATTTAAATCCAGCCTTCTCGCGCGTGTGGGTATCACGTACGGCCCCGTGAAATTTTTGGTGGGGAAAATTATTATCTCGAGAAACACGGAAGCTAGGAAGCTGAAATCTAATGAGGATGTTTCCTCGTGCGGTCCCCAAATCCGAATTCGACTTTTAATTAAGCTGAATTTCACTTATGGCCCTGTGACAGTTTCGATGGGAAAAATCACTATTTCAAAGGCCATAAAAGACAGGAAGCTGAAATTTTGAGAGAGCTTCCTCTGCCCCCACGCGATCTCACAGATTCAAACCCAGCTTCCATGTACGCCCGGGTCTCAAAAAAGAAAAAAAAATACCTCACGAAAGTTTGGCGGGGAAAATTACTACGCCGGGAAGCAGAAGTTCTGCGAGGCTGAAATTTCAGGATGTTTTCTGCTTATGCAGACTTCACAAATTCAAACTTAGCCCCCAAGTATGCCAAAGTTTCACGTACGACTATGTGAGAGTTTTTTTTAATGTCTGCACGGAAGTTGGTCTTTACGTTTGTAAGGAGGCCGATTTTTACGTTTAAGTCGTTAGTATGGAAGTCGGGAAACTGGAAGCTTGAGATTTGGAAGAATGTTGCCCACAAGGCTTCAACTTCAGCTTCCACGTACCGGTACGTGAAGTTTTCAGTGGGAAATTCCGCAACTTAGGAGTCACGCAACATATCGACTATTTTTGCACATACGAAAATCTAAAACATTTATATCTTTATGCGTTTTGCTCATATGCAGATGTAAAAAACGCATGCTGTGACTACCCCGGTGTGTGTGTGTGTTTGTGTGCGTCTGTCCGGATATTTCAACTCGGCACCCAAGCAAGCTCCGGCGCCGAAGCTTTGCTAGTGGTTCCCCCGGCCAAATGCCACCCCAAGGTCGCGGTACCAACTATTGCGCAGGTCTGGGCTCCGCGTACGAAAGGGTGAAAGCTTTGGCGGGAAAATCGCTAACTCAGGGGCCAGAAAAGCTAGAAAGCTGAAATTTTAAGGTTGTGTTCCCTGCCCATACAGAACTCAAAGATTTCAAATCCAGCTTCTAGGTATGCATCACGCGTATGGCCCCTTGAGAGCTCCTGGCGCGAAAATCGCTAACTTGGGAACCAGGAAAGCTGGGAGGCTAAAATTTTCAGAGAATGTTCTTAACTTATGTACAGCTTAAATTTACCAAATTTAGCCCCCGTGTACGCGTGGTTGTCACGTACGGCCCCGTGGAATTTTCTAGGGGGAAATTGGCTAAGTCGGGGACTAGGAAAGCCGGGGAGCTGAAATTTTCAGAGAATGTTCCCAGCACAAATACAACTTGAAATTACCAAAACCAGCCCCTCAGGCACGCGTGTTTCTCATATGCGACCCCGTAAAATTTTTTGGCGGAAAAATGGCTAACTCCGGAACCAGAAAAGCTGGAGAGCTGAAATTTTCAGGAATGTTTCACGCACATGTACAGCTTAAATCTATCAAATCCAGCCCCCGTGTACGCGTGGCTGTCCCGTATGGCACCGTGAAAACTTTTGGCGGGAAAACGGCTAACTCAGGATCCAGGGAAGCCGAGAAGCTGAAATTTTCAAGAAATGTTTCCAGGACACGTACAACTTACAGTTATCAAAAATTTAGTCCTTCAGTACGTGTGGTACTCAAGTACAGCCCTGTGAAAGATTTTGGCGGGAATACTGCTAACTCAAGAACCAGAAAATTTGGAAGGCTGAAGTTCCAACAGAATATTCCCCGTCAAAATACTGCGTAGACTGTGAGCTTCCCGGACTTCGAGGACTAGTATACTACACATTTCTTTCTACTGGGTTTCGAGCGATCCCACTACAGCACGAAATATTGGAAAAACGCATCATCGCATGGGCCCACCGGTGTGCGTCGCCAAAGATTTTTAGGAGGCAAAAATCCGCAGGACGGGACTGCGCGAAACGCATGATCGCACCGGCCATCCTGGTGCACACCGCTATTTATTGAATTTTTACCTGCGAGTTAACAATTTTCCCATCAAATCTTTCACGTGCCTGTACTTATGAACAACGAACACCCAGGGGCTGAATTTAAAATTTTAGGCTCATACTTGCATAGAGCATACCCCTACAGAGTTTCAGTTCTCTATCCTGTCTGGTTTACGAGACCGCTTACCCCCAAGAAATTTGTATACTTTTCTGAAGCGTCCGAACGCGCAACCTAGACGTAAGTGGATGCTAATATTACAGACGGGAACTTGCACAGGTAGTAGGCACATACTTCCGGAGTTTCAGCTTTCTAGCTTTTCTGGTTCTCGAGTTGAAAGTGGGTGAGAAAATGTGCGGACACACACACCCTCTTGCCAGTATGCGTTTTTGCATTTCTATATATGCAAAAACGCATACTGTGACGACCCAATAGTGTGTGTATATGTTTGTGTGAGCATATGTGTGTATGTACGTGTATGTGTGTGTGCGTCTGTACAGGTATTTCAACTTGGCAACCAAGAAACTCCGGTGCTGAAATTTTGCCAGTGGACTCCCCGACCGAGTGCTACTCCAGCATAGCAGTACCAGCCTCATGCACGTCTGTGCTCCACGTACAAACACACGAAACATGTGGAGGAAAATTGCCAACTCTGTAACCGGAACAGCTGAGAGGCTAAAATTTTAAAGAGATATTCCTCATACAGCACAAAATAAATATTTCGAATTTAGTTCCCAATTGCGCATGATTCCCGTGCACGGGTACGTGGAAGTTTTGGCAGGAAAATTGAAACTTCAGCGGAATGCTCCCTGTTCAGGTATAAGTTAAAGTTCATTCTCCAGTATGCGTGGTTCTCACGTACAGGCACTTAAAAGTTTTGGTGGGAAAAGTGCTCCTGAACAGCTAGGTCATTTTCAAGGGAAGACCGCTAAATGGAAATTGTTCATTCTCCTTTGTGCAAAATATACGACGATTTACGCTAGTGAGTGCAAAAAGAAGATGTAAAGCAATAACGAATCATGCAGTTAAAGACTTGATTACTTCGACCTTAGTGCAAAAACGTATTATCGCTCCGGCAAGCCTAATGAATGCATTTTGCATATGTGCAAAAACACATGAAAACAGTTTTCTGGGCAGTCTACGAAGAAGTAGTGCATATTGGTCGAAAAG